CTTCTTACTCTATTCTCTAACATTTTTTTTTTCCTTTTTGTCTTTTTTCGTGACCGGTAACAGCATCGCAACCCTCGGTGTCACGCCCATACCGCGACCGGCAACGGGATCGCAACCTTTGGTGTTGCGCCCGCACCGAGCTCAACCATTGAGCGGACCGGCCTCTATACATGGGATCCGAACCCTCGGCGGGAGCGCCGCCACACTCCCCAGCGCCGCACTCTACCAAGTGGGCCACCGGGCCGGCCCTTCTCTAACATTTTAACATCTTCTATATTTTCTATATCCTAGTCTCTCTCCAATGACTTCTAGTACTTTCTTCAAATATATTTTCCAGTTTATTAATTCTCACTTTTAGCTTCTGGTCAAGCTGGAGTGATAGGGATAAGATTTACCCTCCTATCTGAAATAACTAAAAACTGGATGAAATATATGAAACAATGGTTTTTAAGACCCTGAGCATCAGGCAACAATGGATGCCTGAAGGACAGGAAACAAATGAGATGAGCTTTATGATTGCCTGGAGAATTTCCAGACTGTGGCACAGGGAAAGGAACCCAGGCAGAGTCCAGTGTTCTCCCCTAAGTTTAGAAAATAGGACTGAGAGTCAAGGAAGGCCAAGGCAGTTAGAGTTTTCAGGGCAGATACTGGAGGGGAGCTGCACAGAGTGAGAGCTTCAGAGATCTGGAGAGGACAACCCTTGAGTCTTCAGCTGAGCAGAGGTCAGCACGGAGAAAGCTTCTCAAGACCAGAGAAAGAGCCATCAAAGAATTAGAGGGAACAATACTCAGGTTTCATGCAGAGACAGTCATAGTGCCTATTTCCACCAGGCATTTGAAAATCTCATAATTCACAGGGCAACAGGTAGTGTACTCAAAAGAGTTTTATCTCAGTAGTGAAACAAAATTACTCCAAGACTAAATGCTGCTTTGGCCCCACATAAAAAAGCTTAAAAGCAAAACTAAAAAGAATCAGGCTACTTTCATATGATTTACCTGCATCCCAGAACAAACCTTAAGAGTATTTATAGCAATACAAACTAGCAACCAAGAAGGTAACGTTCATAAAGTCTAGCATTTAATCTAAAATTACCAGGCATGCAAAGCAGATAATGCAACCCATGATAAGGAGAAAAATCAACTGCTCCACATGACAGAATTAGAAGGCAAACAAATTAAAACAGTGAAGACATAATACTAGAAAGCCAAAATGAAACACAGAAAAAAGACTGTTAGAAAACATACCAAATTGTTAAAAATCCTATCTCTAGAGAGAGTAATAAAGAATAAAAGTGAAATTCACTTTTTACTCTATGTCTGTGTATTATATGATTTTTTTTTTTACAAGAGCAAAACAATAATCAAGGCTAATATCTACTGAGTGCTTGTAAGATGCCAGGCACTCTTCTAAGTTCTTTACATGTACTAACTCATTTAATGTTCATAAAAACTCTAAGAAGTAAGTATTAGCACTATTCCTATTCTACAAATAAAGAAACTGGGGACAGAATGGTAAATAACAGGGCTGGTCCCGTGGCTCACTCAGGAGAGTGCGGCGCTGTTAGCACTGAGGCCACAGGATCGGATCCTATATAGGGATGGCCGGTGCGCTCACTGGCTGAGCGTGGTGCAGACAACACCGTGCCGAGGGTTGTGATCTCCTTACAGGTCAGAAAAAAAAAAGAATGGTAAGTAAAAGAGGCAGAGATGGATTTAAATCCTAGTAATCGGGCCAACCCCGTGGCGCACTCAGGAGAGTGCGGCGCTGGGAGCACAGCGGCGCTCCCGCCATGGGTTCGGATCCTATATAGGGATGGCCGGTGCGCTCACTGGCTGGGCGCGGGGCGGGCGACACGAAGCCAAGGGTTGCGATCCCCTTACCGGTCACAAAAAAGACAAAATAAATAAATAAATAAATAAATCCTAGTAATCAACCTTCAGAGTATACATACTCTTAATTGCTATTACACAGCCTTCCTAGCATACTGTTTTTTAATTTAAAAAATATACAATCTATAAAACTACAACTGACATAATCATTTGTACAACACAATATATCCCAAATCAAGTTTGATAACTTACCTGATGATTAACACATGTCAAATGTTCAATAGTTTTCTCTAATTCTGATTTTCCAAAATGACTCATTTCCTCGATATTCTGAAAGGAAATTTTACAGAAAATGTTCATTGATGTAAGATAACAAAACAAAATTACCAAAGTAAGCAATGCAATTCTACATAACTATATTATATTCTACTTCTCTTTTCATAAAACCTACAAACATTTTAGAAAGAAAATCATTAGGGCTGGCCCGGTGGCGCACTGGAGAGTGCGCCGCTTGGGAGTGCAGCAGCGCTCCCGCCGAGGGT